AGGTGACCTTTCTATAGACTTTCTACCTAGCACAATGAGAAAAATTTAGTAACAAAACTGGCCAGAGAAATAATACATCTGGACTTCAGCTACCAACCTTCTATACTCAGACCCAACACATTTTACTTCCAACAGGCTGATGAGCTTGCAAATTTCAACTTTTTGATATTTGGAGAAATCAGAGAAGTAGTACTCCAGAAGTCAAATTTGAATTTCCACTATTCATCCATCAATCCATATGAGAACACCAGATCCTTTATTAACCATGTAAATATTTATTTTACCTAATATATATATCCTAGAGTATTTGTTGCAGGACATAGTACACAACTCTTATAATATTCCCTACAGAATTGAAAGAGGATATAAGGAAAATAAAAGTAAAATGTATTATAAATAATATGATATTGATTATATTTTAACTTTATAAAAGGAGCTTACATATGCTTACACAACACTATCCATCCAGGTAGTCATGAATTATATGTACTTACAAATATATCTGGTTTCCACATATTTTCTTGTCACTGTTTCTTATGGAATCTTAGATAGTCCAGAAAAAAAATAGCTGCTTCATAAGGCAAAAGGGAATTTTTCTAATTTCTCCAAGAATAATCTGCTTTGAATTTGGGGGCAAGAACAGTAGTATCTCAGAAATTCCCTAGAAGCCCAACACCACAGAGAGAGTAGGGGACTGAGAACTGAAGCTGCTCTGCCATGTCACTCTTCCATGGGATTGTGCAAGGCCCCAAGGATCGGAGTGAGCGTTTAACAAGTATACGTGTGTATAATCAAATTGTTCCACAAACACATATTCAAACTATCAATTAAAAAATCACTACTATCAATTTGTTTTATACAAAAAGGAAATGGTACTTCTACTATGCACTCCCTGCATAATGTCACCCACATTCTCACTACTAAGCAGTGTGCTGATAATTCCTCAGGGCAAATTACACTATGCTGCTCCAAATCCATAATCTCTGTAGCTGAGCCCTGGCCAGTCTCCCACCATCTTTCCCATGTCACTGTTTAATGTGAAATTAAACATGTCACTGAAAATGTGGTATCTATACACAATGGAATTTTATGCAGCCATGAAGAAGAACGAAATGTTATCATTCTCTGGTAAACGGATGGAATTGGAGAACATCATTCTGAGTGAGGTTAGCCTGGCTCAAAAGACCAAAAATCGTATGTTCTCCCTCATATGTGGACATTAGATCAAGGGCAAACACAACAAGGGGATTGGACTATGAGCACATGATAAAAGCGAGAGCACACAAGGGAGGGGTGAGGATAGGTAAGACACCTAAAAAACTAGCTAGCATTTGTTGCCCTTAATGCAGAGAAACTAAAGCAGATACCTTAAAGCAACTGAGGCCAATAGGAAAAGGGGACCAGGAACTAGAGAAAAGGTTAGATCAAAAAGAATTAACCTAGAAGGTAACACCCACGCACAGGAAATCAATGTGAGTCAATGCCCTGTATAGCTATCCTTATCTCAACCAGCAAAACCCCTTGTTCCTTCCTATTATTGCTTATACTCTCTCTACAACAAAATTAGAGATAAGGGCAAAATAGTTTCTGCTGGGTATTGAGGGGGGGGAGCGGGAGGGGGGGTGGGTGGTAAGGGAGGGGTGTGGGGCAGGGGGAGAAATGAACCAAGCCTTGTATGCACATATGAATAATAAAAGAAAAATGAAAAAAATAAATAAAAAAATAAATACTAGATAAGCAAAAAAAAAAATAAAAGTGGTACGGGGCCTGCCTAGCAAGCTCAAGGCCCTGAATTCAAATCCCAGTACTGGGGAAAAAAAAAAACAAAAATGAGATGGGATGAATAAAAAAACAACTAGCAAAAAAAAAAAAAAAAAAACATCTTTGCACACTTCTGTCTGCAACCAGCCCAATCTCTTCATTCTCAATCACTTCACTTCCTACACACAAAAAAGAGAACAAATCCCGTAAGTATTCCCTCCATCTCCTGCTATTCCCACATGTATTCTTCCCTCTTTCCAATTTACTAGAAGGATATCTCCTACTGCCTTTGTTTTACAGGGGATTGAGTCCTTCCTACCTACCTCCTTTGGGATAAAGAGGAAGTTACAAGGTAATTTCCATGGTTCTCTCCTCTACTACAACTCTTACCTCTTCCTACTACATCTTTTCCCAACCCTTACCAAACCTCCAAGAGACAAAGAAAAAAATCCTTCTAACCCAGAGTTAGTAGCCTCAAATCCATGACTTTAAGAAATTTAATGAAATTATATTTAAACTGTGTTATGTTATATATACACTTTATAGAAAAAGGAATTATGGTTTTCCCCAGAGTCTGAAATAAGCTGGTAACCAAAACATCATAATGAACCTCTCTAAATTTCTCTAAGATGCAAATCTACTTGTGTCAGTCCCTGAGTTAAAATAATTCAGCTCTACTCATTAGCTTTAAGCTTCAACCCAAACATTTGATCTGACACCTGCCAGTCTTTCTCAGACATTCATGATGTGCCCAAATTTCATTACGAGAAAATGGAAGAAACAGAATTCAATAATCTCTCTAAATTCAAAGCCTGTGTCTTAAGTAAAGTAATTTACAGAAAAGTTGACTTATATGTACAAGAAATCATCACCTTATTAAGAGAACTGAATCTTCAGAAATGACTAGAAGACATTTTATCAGCCTTATTTGGGATCAGAAGTCAAAGCTTTGACTCTGAAGTCAGACACTTTCTATTCCCAGCAATGACAGAGGGGCTGATTTGTGTTTGTAAATATAAGTATTGTTAATGAACTTTGAAGTACTTTTTGATAAGCTCTCAAACTCTATTGCAGGAAAAGATGGGTAATGAACACTTGGCACTTTGAGGGATTGAAAAAGAAAATTTCTTGTGTAGAATTAAATAAACACACACATGAATATAACCAAAATGGTGAAATCTGAGAAAGATGGGTGAATTGTGCAACGTCAATGACATGGCTGCCATATTAAACTATAGTTTTACAAGAAGTTGCCATTGGGACAAGTAAAGAACAGGTACACATGATTTCCCTCTACTACGTATTTCAACTGCATGTGAATCTATAATTGTCTCAAATTAAAGAGTTTTGTTTTAAAAAAAAAGACACACAAAGTTTCTCAACACTAACATCCATGTTAGATCCCAAGGAATAAGAATGAAAATAGTGTTTTCAAATTTTTCAGAGAGCAAGGTCGGGATCCTATTGTAGCATCAAATCTCTGATGTTCTGGAATCTCAGAAAGGAACTACACTGTGAGGTCCCTGAAACAATGGGGCACATGCCTGGGCATGGACATCTGTAGCACAGAGATTTCACTGGTCTGCCTCAATTAAGGAGATTCCACAACATGTTAAAAGCTGATGTGAAGGAGAAAACAAGATGGTAGATAGCTGAGGGACCCTGAGACCCTGAGCTCCATACTTCAGATTTGTGGTAGCAATGATCTGGTAATAATGCCTTTTTTTTTTTAAAGAGTGCACATAATGTTCAACCACCAACTATTAAGTTAGCTTTTTATACCACATAATAACCAGAGAAGCCCTGGCACTGGGACGGCAGGAGCTGTTGGCCTGCCTGGAAGCTGTTTGTCCCTTTTTTTTTTTTCTTGCTTTTTTCCTTTTGTGGCTTCTTTTCTCCTTTATTGGAAATTGGAAAAGCAAAATCTCAATGTGGAGAACTGCAGAATGAACATTAAAAGCATCCAGGACTTCCTGAATCTGCCACAATTCCTGGACATGAAACCTAGCTGTGCTATCTGCCTCTACTGTCCCAAAGCTAAGGTAAACTGCAGCCCTACCAGATGAGTGCAACATTAACTTCTCTGGAGAAAATCACACAGTCCAGTGCAGGTGGGCAGATTGCACCCCCTTCTCTGGACAAAGCTGGTGGCCAACCAAGCAGAAAGAATAGTTCACCTCTGTCTCGTAAGGGTGGGGCAGAATGCTGAGCTGACCTAGCCTGAGTGTAAAAACAAAGTATTCCACCACCTTGGAGAAACTGGTAGTGAGCTCAAACTGGGAAACTTCCAAGAGAAAAGCAGTGGAACAAAAAATTCAATTCCAGCTCCCAAGCCTGCCATGTGGGCAAAAGAGGCTGACAAACTGCTCACATACCAGCTCCTCGTGAGACCACTTCAGAGAACCCACCATATGGCTCATCTCACCAAGAGAAGCCTGGGCTCAAACACCCTGCGCTGATCCCCTCCAAAGCTGCCCGATTGAGAGGGGCAATAGCCACAGCCCAGCATACCAACCTTAAGAAGGGGCAGAGACACAGAGAGAGGCCCTGCCAAAAGTGTTAGCACCTGGATTTGAAATCAGAGGAAAAAGGCCACAATACTCACTGAACTACTTTTTTTATTTAGTATTTTTATTTTTATTCCTTTCTTTTTTTCTTTTTTGTTTTCACTTTACTGCTACCTATCTTCCTCTTCTACTATGTCCAAATATTAATTTGCTTAGCCCTCCCTTCCTCCACTTTCCCTTCTCTCACCCATTTTTTATTTTTACTTCTCTTTTTCTCTTTTTTCTTCTTTCCTCTCTTCCTCCCTCAATCTTTTTTTTTAATTGGGTGTTATTGAGGTTTGAACTCAGGGCCTCGTGCTTGCCAGGCAGGCATTCTGCAACATGAGCCATGCCTCCATACTGATATCTCTTATTTTAGTACTACATTAGAAATGAAAATTAAATGAGAAACCACAAAATCATGGTGTAGGCTAACACTGGCTTGCTCTGTAAGAGTTGCCAGAATGACACACACAAAGGTCCAGAGAGCATCTGCCATCTGGAATTTTCACACCTATGGGAAATTTAAAAATGAATTTAAGGAAATATTGGCTACTGTTGACCACTTAGCCATGGAATATATTTGAGAAGCATCAGTAAAAATCTCTACAAACACATAGGTTTACAAAAACGACCCCAAAACCAAATCTCTCAGGCAAAATTAAAGTTGGCTCTTTGGAGGAGAGCTTCATTTCAGGATGTTTGAACACACTCTTTCACCTGTTGGATAGTTTCCTTGGAAGGAAGTGTATTTTTTTCCTCAGTATTAGTTTTCTTCAATTTTGATCTGTCAAATTTCTCTACACTGACAAATCTGGCTTATCACTCGTCTTGATTAAAAGATGGAAGGTTTGAAGGCTGGTGCAAGGCTGCCACTGGACTGAGAATGTTGCTTACCCTTGAGTAGCTTCCTTCCTCCATCTTTCCTTCCTCTCCCCTCCTCCCTTTCCCCTCACTGTTCCTACTTCTTGCACACTTACCATGCATTGAAAAGTCTATTATACCAACTTTACACATTACCTCCATCCTTCTTATCCCTCTACAATCCCTGAAAACAGCACCCTCCTTCAACAATGACTGAATTACACCTTTACAGACATAGAGCCTTGTTATCCCATAGTTCTCACACCTCACAACTCTTCTCTCCCTTGAATCATTTCTGCTCCCTGCCTTCTCCTCAAGCACCATCATTTTAATTGCCTAAGTATCAATCCTTATGCAAACAACTGTTATCTCCACAATACCTGATGTTTGTAGATAATATCACCAAGGGGTTCCTTATATATTATGTAAATAACAGGTTTGGCATTGAATTTGTGAATTTGTTAATGCTAAGTTATACCTCCAGGTCAGAGAACAGAAATATTACAACTTAGCTAATCAGAGAATAAGCTAGTCAGAGAATAGAAATTAAGTCAAGGGAAAGATAACAAATGATTAAACTCCTCCCCAATCAATCAACAACACAGGAAAGCTCAAAATAGAAACATGGGGAAAAAAGAAGACACAAGAGTATGACTACACAAAACACTAGCAATAGCATAGTAGAGGATGTGGTAGAAAGTGAAGGGGATGGATCCCCAGGAGCTGACCTCAGAATTATGGTAAAAATGTTCAATGAGCTTAAAGAGAACATGCAAAAACAACTCAATGAATAACAAAAGAATATGGATTAAAAAAAAACTTGAGAAGACACAGAAACAACTAAATGAACTCAGAGAGGATTTCAGCAAGCTCCAAAATGAAATTAAGGAGATTTTTTTTTCATTTTTCTTTTATTATTCATATGTGCATACAAGGCTTGGGTCATTTCTCCCCCCTGCCCCACCCCCTCCCTTACCACCCACTCCGCCCCCTCCCTCTCCCCCCCTCAATACCCAGCAGAAACTATTTTGCCCTTATTTCTAATTTTGTTGTACAGAGAGTATAAGCAATAATAGGAAGGAACAACGGGTTTTGCTGGTTGAGATAAGGATAGCTATACAGGGCATTGACTCACATTGATTTCCTGTGCGTGGGTGTTACCTTCTAGGTTAATTCTTTTTGATCTAACCTTTTCTCTAGTACCTATTCCCCTTTTCCTATTGGCCTCAGTTGCTTTAAGGTATCTGCTTTAGTTTCTCTGCGTTAAGGGCAACAAATGCTAGCTAGTTTTTTAGGTGTCTTACCTATCCTCACCCCTCCCTTGTGTGCTCTCGCTTTTATCATGTGCTCATAGTCCAATCCCCTTGTTGTGTTTGCCCTTGATCTAATGTCCACATATGAGGGAGAACATACGATTTTTGGTCTTTTGGGCCAGGCTAACCTCACTCAGAATGATGTTCTCCAATTCCATCCATTTACCAGCGAATGATAACATTTCATTCTTCTTCATGGCTGCATTAAATTCCATTGTGTATAGATACCACATTTTCTTAATCCATTCGTCAGTGTGGGGCATCTTGGCTGTTTCCATAACTTGGCTATTGTGAATAGTGCCGCAATAAACATGGATGTGCAGGTGCCTCTGGAGTAACAGTCTTTTGGGTATATCCCCAAGAGTGGTATTGCTGGATCAAATGGTAGATCGATGTCCAGCTTTTTAAGTAGCCTCCAAATTTTTTTCCAGAGTGGTTGTACTAGTCTACATTCCCACCAACAGTGTAAGAGGGTTCCTTTTTCCCCGCATCCTCGCCAACACCTGTTGTTGGTGGTGTTGCTGATGATGGCTATTCTAACAGGGGTGAGGTGGAATCTTAGTGTGGTTTTAATTTGCATTTCCTTTATTGCTAGAGATGGTGAGCATTTTTTCATGTGTTTTTGGCCATTTGAATTTCTTCTTTTGAGAAAGTTCTGTTTAGTTCACTTGCCCATTTCTTTATTGGTTCATTAGTTTTGGGAGAATTTAGTTTTTTTAAGTTCCCTATATATTCTGGTTATCAGTCCTTTGTCTGATGTATAGTTGGCAAATATTTTCTCCCACTCTGTGGGTGTTCTCTTCAGTTTAGAGACCATTTCTTTTGATGAACAGAAGCTTTTTAGTTTTATGAGGTCCCATTTATCTATGCTATCTCTTAGTTGCTGTGCTGCTGGGGTTTCATTGAGAAAGTTCTTACCTATACCTACTAACTCCAGAGTATTTCCTACTCTTTCTTGTATCAACTTAAGTTTGGGGTCTGATATTAAGATCCTTGATCCATTTTGAGTTAATCTTGGTATAGGGTGATATACATGGATCTAGTTTCAGTTTTTTGCAGACTGCTAACCAGTTTTCCCAGCAGTTTTTGTTGAAGAGGCTGCTATTTCTCCATCGTATATTTTTAGCTCCTTTGTCAAAGACAAGTTGGTTATAGTTGTGTGGCTTCATATCTGGGTCCTCTATTCTGTTCCACTGGTCTTCATGTCTGTTTTTGTGCCAGTACCATGCTGTTTTTATTGTTATTGCTTTGTAATATAGTTTGAAGTCAGGTATTGTGATACCTCCTGCATTGTTCTTTTGACTGAGTATTGCCTTGGCTATTCGTGGCCTCTTGTGTTTCCATATAAATTTAACAGTAGATTTTTCAATCTCTTTAATGAATGTCATTGGAATTTTGATGGGAATTGCATTAAACATGTAGATTACTTTGGGAGTATCGACATTTTTACTATGTTGATTCTACCAATCCATGAGCATGGGAGATCTCTCCACTTTCTATAGTCTTCCTCAATCTCTTTCTTCAGAAGTGTATAGTTTTCCTTGTAGAGGTCTTTCACATCTTTTGTTAGGTTTACACCTAGGTATTTGATTTTTTTTGAGGCTATTGTAAATGGAATTGTTTTCATACATTCTTTTTCAGTTTGCTCATTGTTAGTGTATAGAAATGCTAATGATTTTTCTATGTTGATTTTATATCCTGCTACCTTGCTGTAGCTATTGATGATGTCTAGAAGCTTCTGAGTAGAGTTTTTTGGGTCTTTAAGGTATAGGATCATGTCGTCTGCAAATAGGGATATTTTGACAGTTTCTTTACCTATTTGTATTCCTTTTATTCCTTCTTCTTGCCTAATTGCTCTGGCTAGGAATTCCAGTACTATGTTGAATAGGAGTGGAGATAGTGGGCATCCTTGTCTGGTTCCTGATTTTAGAGGGAATGGTTTCAGTTTTTCTCCATTAAGTATAATGCTGGCTGTAGGTTTGTCATATATAGCTTTTATAATGTTGAGGAACTTTCCTTCTATTCCTAGTTTTCTTAGAGCTTTTATCATGAAATGATGTTGGATCTTATCAAAGGCTTTTTCTGCATCTATTGAGATGATCAAGTGGTTTTTGTCTTTGCTTCTGTTAATGTGGTTTATTACGTTTATTGATTTTCGTATGTTGAACCACCCCTGCATCCCTGGGATGAAGCCTACTTGGTCTGGTGAATAATCTTTTTGATGTGTTGTTGAATTCGGTTTGCCATTATTTTGTTGAGGATTTTTGCATCAATGTTCATTAAGGAGATTGGCCTATAGTTCTCCTTTTTGGAGGTGTCTTTGCCTGGTTTTGGGATAAGTGTAATACTGGCTTCATAAAATGTGTTTGGCAGTTTTCCTTCCCTTTCTATTTCATGGAACAGTTTAAGGAGGGTTGGTATCAGTTCTTCTTTAAAGGTCTGATAGAATTCAGCAGAGAATCCATCAGGTCCTGGACTTTTCTTTTTGGGGAGACTCTTGATTGCTGCTTCAATTTCATTTTGTGTTATAGTCTATTCAGGTGATTAATTTCCTCTTGGTTCAGTTTTGGATGATCATATGTATCTAGAAATCTGTCCATTTCTTTAAGATTTTCAAATTTATTTGAATATAGGTTCTCGAAGTAGTCTCTGATGATTTCCTGGACTTCCATGGTGTTTGTTGTTATCTCCCCTTTTGCATTCTTGATTCTACTAATTTGGGTTTTTTCTCTCCTCATTTTAGTCAGGTTTGCCAGGGGTCTATCGATCTTGTTTATTTTTTCAAAGAACCAACTTTTTGTTTCATTAATTCTTTGTATGGTTTTTTTGGTTTCTATTTCGTTGATTTCAGCTCTTATTTTTATTATTTCTCTACTTCTATTTGTTTTGGGATTTGCTTGTTCTTGTTTTTCTAGGAGTTTGAGATGTATCATTAGGTCATTGATTTGGGATCTTTCAATCTTTTTAATATATGCACTCATGGCTATAAACTTTCCTCTCAAGACTGCCTTAGCTGTGTCCCATAGGTTCCGGTAGGTTGTGTTTTCATTTTCATTGACTTCCAGGAACTTTTTAATTTCCAAAATGAAACTAAGGAGATTTAAAAAAAAAGGCGATATATGAAATAAAGAAGACAGCACAAGATAGCAATACAAAGATATGGAAAGTTTCAGAAAAACTAATCAAACAAAAATCCTGGATTTCAAATAAAAAATACAGTTAAAAGCCACTCTGGCAAACTGGAACAAATAGAAGACAGAATTTCACAGCTCAAAGACAAAATGGATATTAAAGAAAAAAAACAGAATAATTCTTAGGAAAAAACTCAAGAGCTGCAATAGGAATACACAAGAACTGTGTGACTCCATCAAAAGACAAAATCTGCAAATCATGGGCACTAAAGAAGGTGAAAAGGTGCAAGCCAAAGGTATAAGTAATACATTCAACAAAATGATAGCAGAAAATTTCCCAAATCTCTAGAAAGAGATGCCCATTCAGGTTCAGGAATCCTCCAGGACACCAAACAGACATGACTAAAACAGAACCTCTCAATGGCATGTTATAGTTAAAACAACTAGCACAGAAAACAAGGGAAAATATTGAAGACTGTAAGAGAGAAAAATCAAATAGCATATAAAGGTAAGCCCATGAAAATAACAGCAGATTTCTCAACAGAAACCTTAAAAACAAGAATGGCATGGAGTGAGATATTTCGAGCACTGAAGGAAAACAATTTTGGTCCTAAGATACTCTACCAGCAAAGGTATCATTCAAAATTGAAACAGGAATAAAAATCTTCCAGGACAAACAGAAATTAAAACAATACATAACCACCAAAACACCACTACA